GGTCTGGCCTGGCTAGGCCCGGCCGGGGAAGAGATTGTCCTTCTTGTCAATAAACAAGTCCCCAGTGCAGCATTAAAGCTGCAATCCTTTATCAGTTGTGGTCTCTTCTTCCCACATGTTTTTGTAACTTACCGAGCATTTATTACATTGATTTTCCAATCAGGTTGTTAACCCTCCCACCTCATCAGCCCCACTAACCCTTTTGACACAACTTTTAGGTATCTTCCTGCCAATCAAGTTCTTGATAATGGAGATGTTCAGATTCATGTTGTAGTTCACCTGCTGAGTGTCCTGGGGTGCTGGCTGAACACTTTTTGTTTAAAAGTATTTATGGGGTATTGTTCCACATTGCATTTTGAGGTCTACATAGGTATTTCCAAAACATTACTTGGAAGAAGTAAGAAGCTTATGAAGTTTCTTATTTTCCTTTTTTTTTATCTGTCCAATATGAACTTTTATTGGTTTAATTTGGATTGCAGTTGTCAATGTGAAAAGTAGCAGTGAGAAGGAGAGAGTATGTCATGTTGTGGGAGGGTGAATATGCAGCCTCAGCACAGAAGGATCTGGGATCAATCTAAAGAAAACACACAGCTAAGGACAAATGTTCAGTGGGAGAGAGCTGTCACAATGCTGTGCTGAAGTGTTGGTTTAGCTAAGGTAAGCAAAACTGGCTGATCAAGAAGACTAAGCCTTTTGGCAACAGGGTTATGGTACTCTTCTTTCTATTCCACTCAGTGCACCAGGTTATTTTTATTGCTGCTCAAAATAACTGTTTATTCCCAGTGCAACCACAAGGACAGCTGTGTATGGCAGAGAATCCAAGGAAGGTGGAGGCTGGAAATGCTGTAAGGTAATACTTTGTGTGAATGCTTTGGATCATTATACCATTGCACCTCCATGTCCTTCCATCAGCATCCTTCACCACACTCATGTTGGGAAATGTTACCTTCCACCTTCATGAGCACTTGTAAATACTTTTTGTCAAACTTCATCAGAAGTAAAACAGGCCAAAAAAAAAAAAAGAAAACATGAAGACAAATCAGAAAAAGTATGGATGGGTTCATGTGGTAAAGAAAAATAAGCTGTCAGATAATGAAAACTGGAAAAAAAAAGCGTTGAATGTTGCTCCATTTTCTTATGCTTGAACTAACTCAGGCAAGTCATTTAGTGCTGTTGTGGCCTGCCCCCTGCTTAACTGATCAGGTCTTATCTGGCAGATCTTCATTTCTCTTTGTACTTTTTCTTCTGCTTCCCAGATGTACCAGTTGCATGTCCGTGCAGCAGTGACTGTGTGCAGTGTGTGCTGGGCAGGTGTATATACAGGGAAAGGTGGTTGGCTGTTACACCACACTGCTCTTCCAGAGCTTGCGGGGGTCTTCCATGTCCCATGGACTCAAATTGAAGTAGAGACCACTGGAAACACTTTCAAAGTAGGATCGTAATATTTAGCTTTTGGGTAGCAGCATAGGTTGCCAAAAAGCTGATAGTCTTTGGGGAGAGACCCCAAGGGTGGCAGCAGGCTGCTAATGTGGTTGGAGACATTGAAGGCAGACCCCTGAAACCTGAGAGGTGCCAGCTGGCCCGTACACAAGTCTACTGTGTGCAAATGGGGGGTGGGGGGCCCCACTAATAGCCCAGTCTGGCCAGAGCTCCAGCACTGCATGCTGCTTGGAGTATCTCATGAGCTGAAGCAGCAGCTACTTGGAGGATGCTCAGGTAAGAGTAACTTTGAGGAAGATGTAGTAAATGAGAGGGGTTTCAAGATGTCGTGGTTTAAGCCCAGCTGGTAACTCGGAACCACGCAGCTGCTCACTCAGTCCTCCCCCCACTCCCAGAGGGCTGGGGAGGAGAATCGAAAGATGAGTTGAGATAAGAACAGTCCAGTAACTAAGGTACAATACAAAACAACTACTGCTACCACCAATAATGATAAGGGAAATAACAAGGGGAGAGAATATGAAATTAAAAGGGGAAAAGGAAAACAATAAATACAAGTGATGCACAATGCAATTGCTCACCACCTGCTGACCTGAGCAGTGATATGGGCCATCCATGTAACTCCCCCCAATTTATATACTGGGCATGACGTGCTGTGGTATGGAATATCCCTTTGGCTAGTTTGGGTCAAGTGTCCTGTCTGCTTCCTCCCGGCTTCCTGTGTTCCTCCTCACTGGCAGAGCATGAGACTAAAAGTCCTTTATCAGAGTAAACATTACTTAGCAACAACTAAAAACTTTGGTGTGTTGTCAGAGTTCTTCTCAGACTAAAGCACTGCACCAGCTGCTAAGGAGAAAAATGACTGCTAAAGCTGATCACAGGACACCAGTATATAAACTAGGGGGAGTCACCCAGCAGGCCAGACTACTGCTCGGGTCGGGCTGGGTATCATTCGGCAGGTGGTAAGCAATTGCATTGTGTATCACTTGTGTTTATTGTTTTCTTTTCTTTTTCCCCTTTTTTTTAGTTTTATGTTTTCTCCCCTTGTTATTTCACTTATCAGTATTGGTGGTAGCAGTGGTAGTTTTGTATTGTACCTTAGTTACTGGACTGTTCTTATTTCAACCCATGGGATTTACATTCTTTCAATTCTCCTCCCCATCCCTCTGGGAGCAGGGGGGGAAGAAGAGGGGGAGTGAGTGAGCGGCTGCATGGTTCTGAGTTACCAGCTAGGCTTAAACCATGACAGTACTTTTTGGTGCCCAACGTGGGGCATGAACCCATGACCCCGAGATTAAGAGTCTCATGGTCTTCCAACTGAGCTAGCTGGGTACCAAAAAGAACCCAGGACACAAGAAAGACTTAAAAGTATTTTTATAACTTTATTATTTAAAGTAAATCCCACTGAATCAGATCAAGACTAACAGCATATTGTTAAATTAAAACCTGCCCTGCCCCCCTGTCCTGGGTTCAGCTGTAACGGTTATGTTTCTCCTTCTCTAGCAGCTGGTGCAGTGCTGCGTTTTTGACTTTAGTCTGAGAACAACACTGATAATACACCGATGTTTTATTTGTTGCTAAGTAATTTTTACTCCGATCAAGGACTTTCCAGTCTCATGCTCTGCCAGTGAGGAGGGGCATGGGAAGCCAGGAAGAAGCAGAGATAGGACACCTGACCCAAACTAGCCAAAGGGGTATTCCATACCACAGCACATCATGCCCAGTATATAAACTGGGGGGAGTTACCTGGAAGGCCCAGATTGCTGCTTGGGTTGGGCTGGGTATCGGTCGGTGGGTGGTGAGTGGTTGTATTGTGCATCACTTGTGTTAATTGTTTTCCTTTTCCCCTTGTAGTTTTATATTCTCTCCTCTTGTTATTTCCATTATCATTTTTATTATTGGTGATAGTAGTAGTAGTTCTGTATTATACCTTAGCTACTGGACTGTTCTTTCAATTCTCCTCCCTGTCCTTCCATGAGTGGGGAGGAAAGAAGAGGGGGAGTGAGCAAGCAGCTGCATGGTTCTGAGTTACTGGCTGGGCTTAAACCATGACACCCCCAAACCCTTATACTGAGTATCAGTAAAAACTCTCCCCACACATATATTCAATTCGGGATCAGTCTGATGAGCAAAGTGGTGCTTGTGTTCAGTTGGTAGAAGATAAAATACTGTGGAAGATTTCCTGTCTGGCATTGACAACCATGGATATAGAACATGAGTCTTCTTTTGTCTCATGGGTCACAGATTGTAAAAATGTGGTGAAGTTGGCCTCTGCTTGCACAATTTTTCTTTGGTTGTTTTCTATGGATCCTTTGTATACCCAAGGAATTCTGTGGACCACAGGTTAAAAATCACTCTTACAGATGAGGTAATAGTGTTTTAATTTCTGTTGGTGTTTCTTCCTGTGTGGCTTGTGCCGGAGCTCTTTATAGGAAGCAGGATATAGAAATGCTCTTTGAAGACAGGACTGTGTTAGGGTTGCAGTTGGACTGGTAATCTCCTGCTGATTTGTGGTCTGCATTTAAATGGTCCAGATCCAAACAGTAGCATTCCCTTATCTCAGGTCTGTAACCATCTGTTGTCAGGAACCATCTCTTTGCCATGCTCAGCAGCCCCTGCTTTCTGGCAGCCTGGTATTTAGTGTGAGTTCCCCAGCTCTCATTGTATTTGGTGGAATAGAAGTAGTAGGAAGGGAGTCCTCCCTTCTTCTCCAGGGCCTGCATTAGCCATCTGCCTCTGGGAGTGAGAGCAAGCCATCTGTGCACAGAGGCTGTGTCCTGCATCATCTCTGGGAGCTTCCAGGATCATGGTGGGTTGACTGCTTTCCGATTCCCAGGATGGACCCTTGTCAGATCTAGAATTTCCTGTTTGGTTTCTCTCCTGATGTGTCTCTGTTTAAATGCTGTCCAGAACACAGCAATTAAATCTCCTGTGCATACCAAATGCTGTTACTCTGAAATCTCAGAGTTGCTCAGGGTCCCACAGTCTGCCACAGAGGTGCACATGTGGTATCTCTGGTTTTGTGCTCTCCAAACCGCTCAGAGAAGGAAATCACCTGAAAATAACAGCATTTGGCTCAGGGAGCCACAGAGTACCATTCTTATAACGTTTTAAAGCACCAGCATTATTCTGTTGTGGTGTCTTAATTTGGTTCCTGTCAAAAGCTTTTCTATTACATTTTTGTTTTGTGAAGATCTATGGCTTTGGGTGCAGCAGTACAGGTCCTTCAGTCTTCTTACCCCTCTTCAGGAAAGGTGTTGGAGGTTTTCACCACCTCTCAGGTCCCTTTGCTTTGCCTCTTGTGTTCCTCTTCCTGTTGTATTTCCATTGCTCATTTCCAGAGGTGGATTACCTGATGTCAGGCCACTTGTTCCTGGAGTCCATCATGGGGCACCAGCTCTCACAGCCTCCCATTTGGTCCTGAAGAATGGGGTTGGTGGTCCTTGTGGTGGGGAGGTCTTCATAGGAACTCTCTTCCCTGACTCACCTGCCTTTCTCCATCTCTCACTGTCTGCAGGTCTGAGCTGTACTGGGTGCAATGAATGCTCCATGCTGGCCCTGCCATGGAAGGCTGTGACTCGCCCATCATCCCTGGGAAGGACAACGGGTGCAGCATCTCTCAGCACCAGCAATGGACTGATGTCAACAGCGCCCACCTCCCTGACACAGTTGGCAGCATGGAGCAGCCCATGGCAGCGACTTGTGGCCCCCTGGACAGCCTGAGGGTCCCTTTCCCCGAGAGCAGCACAGCAGCTGGCCCCAGCGCCAAGCCCACCAGCAAGGAGGTGAGCTGCAGGCAGTGCGCTGTCTCCTTCACAGGCCTGCAGAGCTACATGGAACACCGCTGCGCCGATGCCTGCCCAGCCCTGCCACTGCAGGGGGACAACGGGAGTGAGAGTAGCGAGGATGGGGAGGAGAGTGATGTGGAGAACCTGGCCGGCGAGATCATCTACCAATCTGATGGCTCAGCCTACACTGTGGAGAGCCTCAGCCAGCTGGTGCAGAGTGGGGGTGCCTACAGCAGTGGGGCTCTCTCCTTGCTGCTCCTGAACTCACTGGCCAAGCAGGGAGAGCCCTCTGCTGCTGCTACCGTCTACCCACAGATCATCAACACCTTCCACATAGCCTCATCCTTTGGGAAGTGGTTTGAGGGCTCAGACCAGGCCTTCCTGAATACCTCAGCCCTGGTGGGCATCAGCCCCGTCCTGCACAGCTTCCGCGTCTTCAATGTGCGACACAGAAGCAACAAGGATTACCTGAACAGTGATGGTTCTGCCAAAAGCTCTTACATATCCAAAGATGTTCCCAGCAATGTGGACCTGTCCAAATTTGATGGCTTTGTGCTCTATGGGAAGAGGAAGCCCATCCTGATGTGTTTCTTGTGTAAGCTCTCCTTTGGGTATGTCCACTCATTTGTGACCCATGCAGTGTGCAACCATCAAATGACTCTGAGTGAGGAGGAGCGGGAAATTCTTAGCAATAAGAACATCTCCGCTATCATCCAAGGGATAGGCAAAGACAAGGAACCCCTTGTCAGCTTTCTGGAACCAAAAACCAAAACTTTTCAGCACCCTCTCATTTCTGCAGCTAACCTCATAGGTCCTGGACAGAGTTTTTATGGTAAATTCAGTGGCATTTGCATGGAAGGTGAGCAGGCGTTCCAGGCCAGGGCAGCTGATGGAGCAGAGCTGCCACTGGCAGGTGTTCTGGCCCCCAGTGCGCTCCTCAACCTGGGCGGACTGACCAGCTTGGCTCTGAAGACTCCTATTACCTCAGTCCCCCTGGGCCCGCTGGCTTCCGGTCCCACCAAATTCTCAGAGGGGAAGGACCTTGGGGTGGCAGGGGGGGAGAAGCAAGAGGGGGATGAGCAGGACATCCTCTCAGAAAAGGCAGAGCTGGTGGAGGAGGAGGAAGAGGAGGACATGGAGGAGGAGGAGGGAGAAGATGAGGATGATGAGGGTTGCAAAGGACTGTTTCCAAGCGAGCTGGAGGACTGGCCTCAAGAGGATGCTGAGGCTGTGGCAGGCAGTGACAGCAGCAAAAAGGACCTTGCTCTCTCAAACAAAAGCATTTCTAACTCTCCCTTAATGCCTAACGTGCTCCAGACCCTATCGCAGAGCACAGATTCTACTACTTCTAATTCTGCTTCTTCCTTTGTCTTTGATGGTTCAAACAAGGGTAATCACTTCAGCTTTAACAATGAGGATGGTGGAGCCAGCATGGCAGAGGGCAGCAGGAAGCTGGACTTTATCCATGAAAGTGCCAATAAAGACAGTGCCACAGCACCAGAACCAAATGAGAGTATGGAGGGCGAGGACAGGAGCTACATCTCCCATCACCAGCATGCTGGTCCCCTCTGTGAACTTGGGGGTGGGGAGTGCCCCTTGGGGAGTGGCATGGAGTGCCCAAAGTGTGACACGGTCCTGGGCTCCTCACAGTCATTGGGTAGCCACATGACTATGATGCATTCTCGCAACTCATATAAGACACTCAAGTTTCCCAAGTGCAATTGGCACTACAAGTACCAGCAGACGCTTGAGGTGCACATGAAGGAGAAACATCCTGAGCCAGGTGGCTCCTGCGTGTACTGCAAAAGCAGGCAGCCTCACCCGCGGCTGGCACGGGGTGAGAGCTACACTTGTGGTTATAAGCCCTTCCACTGTGAGGTCTGTAACTACTCCACTACTACCAAAGGCAACCTCAGTATCCATATGCAGTCTGACAAGCATCTCAACAACATGCAGAACCTGCAGAATGGAGGGGGCAAACAAGTCTTCAGCCACACCGCTGGGGTGGTGGCAGCAGCTGTGGTGGCCGCAGCAGCCAACATTGGTAGCACATGTGGGGCCACCTCCCCCACCAAACCAAAAGCCAAACCCACGTGGCGGTGTGAGGTGTGTGACTATGAGACCAACATAGCTAGAAACCTCCGTATTCACATGACTAGTGAGAAGCACATGCACAACACGATTCTGCTTCAGCAAAATATGTCCCAAATCCAACACAGCCAGCACCTGGGCCTTAGCAGCCTACCGTCACCCACCGAGGCTGAGCTATACCATTACTACCTGGTGCAGAACGTGAACCTTCCTAACTTTAAGATGGATAGCACTTCCTCAGATGCACAGTTCACAGTGGGTGGATTCCAGCTCGATCCCATGGCAATGATTGCTCCACCTCTAGGTGAGGCTGAAGGGTTTTCCACTGTGTCCATGGGGGTTGTGTGTGTGATTGTGTTTGCATTCCAGCAAGGCCCTTGTGTGCAGACTGGGTGCTGCATGCCATATCCCTTCGTTCCATCGCTGCAGCCCTCTGTGGTGCAGCTTCACTGTGGTGAGTTGCTTTTGTGTGGTGGTTGAGGATGAAGAGTACATAGTGGAGACCTCTCTTCTGCATTCCCCATACACTGGTTTTCCTCATCCTGGGGATATATAGTTTTCAAGTACATTTTCTAAGAGTTTTAGTAGGGAGATAATAAAACAGTAGGTATGGTTTATTGCTGACATGCTGTCCTGGGTTCAGCAGTAGCAGTCATTTTTCTCCTTCTTGGTAGCTGGTGCAGTGCAGTGTTTTGACTTTCGGCTCGGGAACAGAGCTGATAACAATGATGTTTTGGTTTGGCCAAGGACTTTGTGAGCCTCATGCTCTGCCAGGGAGGAGGGGAAGCCAGGAGGAAGCAGAGACAGGACACCTGACCCAAGCTAGCCAAAGAGGTATTCCATACCACAGCACGTCATGTCCAGGATGTAACTGGGAGTTAGCCGGAAGGGCTGGTAGACTGCGGGGTTGGAGGAGGTATTGGTCGGAGCTTGGTCGAGCTGGGGGGCGAGTTATCGGTTGGCTGGTGGTGAGATGTCGTATTCTCTTCCCTTGTTATTTCCTTTATCATTATTATTATTGGTGGTAGCAGTAGTGATTTGTGTTATACCTTAGTTACTAAACTGTTCTTATCTCAACCTGTGGGAGTTGCATTCTTTTCGATTCTCCTCTCTGTCCCTCCAGGAGTAGAGGGAGGAAAAGAAGGGGGGAAGTGAGTGAACCAGTTACCTGACTGGGTTTAAACCACGACAGTTCTTTATTGGCGCCCAACGTGGGGCACGAAGGGTTGAGATAACAACAGATATGACCGGATTAATAGTCACTTGTCACAATGCTGATTTATTGGCTCTCAGAGTTGTTCCTCTTGATCTCACAGTTTCAGGATGTAGTACATTACTTAGAGCCGGTATTTGATGTGTTAGTGTTTATCAAGCGTGGGGCTTGGGCTAAGGTTCTTGTCTTACTGTACTTTATGGCAATGACTTGTAATACGGGCAGGCTCCAGCAGCAGGGCGGGACGGACATGGCCGTGGACTTGTACATGGCCGTGGACTTGTACCTGGCCGTCCTGCTGCTCTTCACCGTCCTGGCCCTGGCCCTCGCCTTCGCCTTCGTCTTCGTGAGGCCTCGGGGAGCCGAGGGGGAGCGGCCCCGGGAGCCGGCGGCTGCTGAAGCCGGCCGGGAGAGCGGCCTCGGGGAGCAAGCGGCGGCGGGAGGGGGCCGGGAAGCCGCGAGGGGACGGCTGCCGGTGGAGGAGGTCGGGGCAGGCGAGGAGCGGAAGGAGGCGGCTGCCGAGCAGAGGGAGAAGGCGGCGGAGGAGCCGAGCCCCGCGGCCGAGCCCAGCCCCCCCGACGCCCGAGAGCATTTCCCGGAAGCCGCCCGCCGAGCCCCAGGAGGATGCAGGAGACCACGCAGCATTTCCCAGCAAGGCAGAGGAGGAAGAGCTGGGCTCAGGAAAAGAGAAGCTGGTGGTGGGAGAGCAGGCAAGCACAGCAGCTACACCAGCCCCAGTGACAAGTACAGCAGCATCGTTTGAAAGTTCTGAAGGTTTTGAATGGCCTTTGGGTATCCTTGGGACCTGCCTGCTGATTGTGATGGGGATCAGCATGTTGGCACACATACAGACTGTGTTTTACCCACAACCATTTTGTCTGATCTCAAAAGTTAAGTAGAGTCAGGTTTGGGTCTTGTCTGGGGTTAGACGACGATATAGGGGGACCAAGAGGTTTTCTCCAAGGCTGGAGAGTCATGAGTGGCAGGGTGTGTGGGACAGTATGGGCAAGTATCTAGTCCACTGGGCCCCTCCAGTGCTTTGGAAGCATCGAAGATGGAAGGCAGCTGTATGGAGTCCCCAGCAACAAGCTGCAGAAACTGCTTAAGGGGACAGTGAATTATTTTAAGCCTGGTGGGCCCATGGCACTTCAGGCCATCAGAGCAGAGATGCAACGTAGAGATGGACTCATGATCGAGGGGTGGACTTAACAATGGACACTATTGCCCAGGTTATTCACGAGTGTGAACACTGCTCTGGAAGACTGTTACAAGAGATGGAGCCTGACATCATGGACCAGATGGATTCAGCAGGTTTATAGGGACTGGTCCATGCACTAAGATAAGAGTGATGGTATATTGAAAATGTGGGATCTGAGCATGACGTGAATGGTATGGAATAAGGGGTGGATAATGTCCTGGGTTCAGCAGTAGCAGTCATTTTTCTCCTTATTGGTTTCTGGTGCAGTGCAGTGTTTTGACTTTCAGCTCGGGAACAGAGCTGATAACAATGATGTTTTGGTTTGGCCAAGGACTTTGTGAGCCTCATGCTCTGCCAGGGAGGAGGGGAAGCCAGGAGGAAGCAGAGACAGGACACCTGACCCAAGCTAGCCAAAGAGGTATTCCATACCACAGCACGTCATGCCCAGGATGTAACTGGGAGTTAGCCGGAAGGGCTGGTAGACTGCGGGGTTGGAGGAGGTATCGGTCGGAACTTGGTCGGGCTGGTGGTGAGATGTCGTATTCTCTTCCCTTGTTATTTCCTTTATCATTATTATTATTGGTGGTAGCAGTAGTTATTTGTGTTATACCTTAGTTACTAAACTGTTTTTATCTCAACCTGTGGGAGTTGCATTCTTTTCGATTCTCCTCTCCATCCCTCGGGGAGTAGGGGGAGGAAAAGAAGGGGGGGAAGTGAGTGAACGAGTTGCCTGACTGGGTTTAAACCACGACACATGCATAAAATGTTTCTCCTCTTTGTGGAAAGCATCCTTACTACAGTGTTTCCTGATGATTTTTCCTTCATTTGTCAAGAGGCATGAATAGTTTGGCAAGTGGCTTTGTGAGAGGGTCCAATCACCTTCTGGTGCTCTCAAAGGCAGATGTTGAGTTGGTTTGTTATGTCCTGTGTGGCCCTGAGAGCAAAAGGAAAGTAGTTTTTGAGAGTTGGGATGAATTTGGTGGAAAGGTTGGTGTTCCCTTGCTGAAGAAATTAAACAGAAATGGTTCCTCTATTGCTAGCATGAGATATAAGATTCAAGGCTTGACGAGATAAAAAATATTAAACTGGATGAGAATGGCTAGAGAGATTATTTTTCTCATCAGATCACAAAAGCACTTGAAAATGAGCTACCAAATGCATTTTCCCTGCCAACATTTCCCTGTCTTCCCTTTTCTCCTGGAAGGCATGGTAAGGCACATGAAAAACAATGAGGTGGTTGGTGACAGTCAGCATGGCTTCACTAAGGAGAAATCCTGCCTGACCAAGTTGGTGGCCTTCTATGATGAGGCTAGGGAACTGATGGACAGGGGTAGAGCAGTTGATGTCATCTACCTGGACTTGTACAAAGCTTTTGACACTGTCCCGCATGACATCCTTGTCTCTAAATTGGAGAGACATCAATTTGATGGATGGACCACTCGGTGGATAAAGAACTGGCTGGATGGCCGCACTCAAAGAGCTGTGGTCAATGGCTCAGTGTTCTGCTGGAGACCAGTAACAAGTGGTGTCCCTCAGGGATTGGTGTTGGCACCGGTCTTGTTTAACATCTTCGTCGCTGGCATGGACAGTGGGATTGAGGGTGCCCTCAGCAAGTTTGCTGATGACACCAATCTGTGTGGTTCCTTTGAAGCGCTGGAGGGAAAGAATGCCATACAGAGGGGCCTCGACACTCTTTTGAGGTGGGCTGATGCCAACCTTATGAAGTTTAACAATGCCAAGTGCAAGGTCCTACACCAGGCGCAGCTACAGGTTGGGCAGAGAAGAGATTCAGAGCAGCCCTGTGGAGAAGGACTTGGGGGTGTTGGCTGATGAGATAATGAACATGAGCCGGCAGTGTGCTCTCGCATCCCAGGAAGCCAACCGTATCCTGAGCTGCATCAGAAGGAGTGTGACCAGCAGGTTGAAGGAGGTGATCCTGCCCCTCTATTCTGCTCTCGTGAGAACTCAGTTGGAGTATTGTGTCCAGTTCTGATGTCCTCAACATAAAAAGGACATGGAACTGTTGGAACAAGTCCAGAGGAGGGCCACGATGATGATCAGGGGACTGGAGCACCTCCCATATGAAGACAGGCTGAGAATGTTGAGGCTGTTCAACCTGGAGAAGAGAAGGCTGTGTGGAGACCTCATAACAGCCTTCCAGTATCTGAAGGGGGCCTATAAGGATGCTGGGGAGGGACTCTTCACTAGGGACTGTAGTGATGGGACAAGGAGTAATGGGTTCAGACTTAAACAGGGGAAGTTTAGATTGGATATAAGGCAGAAGATCTTTACTGTAAGGGTGGTGAGGCACTGGAATAGGTTGCCCAGGGAAGTTGTGAATGCTCCATCCCTGCTGGTGTTCAAGGCCAGGTTGGACAGAGCCTTGGGTGACATGTTTTAGTGTGAGGTGTCCCTGCCCATGGCAGGTGGGTTGGAAGTGGATGATCTTAAGGTCCTTTTCAACCCTAAATAGTATATTCTATTCTATTCTGTTCTGTTCTATTCTATTCTATTCTGATGAATGTTTGCCGTGTTCTGTGTTGGGCACTTGGGGGGCACACCCCATCCACACACAATGCAGCCCATGATTTAGACTGAGAGTGGGTGTAGAGGGTTGGGTCCTGTTCGGTTCCTCCCCTAGCAGCTGCTGGCTGTTTGCATGTGCTGCTTGGTGTGTTTGACCATCACAGAGCTGTAGGGTGGGAGCTGGATAGACCCCTCCACTCCTCAGGTGTGGCAGATGCTGGCTGAAATTGCTCTATGTTGTTTTGCTGGTGCTGAAAATCTTTGCACAGTGCTTTGAGAAAGTATGTGAAAAGAACTGTGCCACTTTACCTGCTTTCCTCTTAACTGACTCCTCGTCACTGCACTCTGCCCTTCCTAACCTTGTCCATTCATTGATGCAGTTATTACTGCATCATTGGTCTCATGTGTGTTCTCCTCTCTTTCAGCTATTCATAGTCCAGTTTATTATTACTGCAGAAGGACGTGGAAATAATATGAAAGAACAGCAACACAAGATACTAAAAAATGAAAATGAAAACAGAGTAACTCCAATGACTATAAATTAATTAGAATTCCCCCCCCCCCCCCCCCAGCATCCCATCTTGCACCTCTGGAAGGTCAAGGACACTATTTAGTGTATTTTCAATGGCTCCAAGTTGCCAAGAGATGTAGTAAACCTCATTTGTAATACAGCTTGCAGTATATAAAGTTAGTGTTGCCAGCAGTAGGGTTCTTGGAAGGCTCCCTTCTGGAGCTCACAGCATCTCTTCACTGAAGCACAGAGCAGTTGGCATTAGAGGAGTTGGGAGGATTTTAACAGAAGCTTCCTAAAGTGTATGACAAGGCCTTGAGTGTATATGAGCTTGCCTGGGGAGTGATTTGTGAATTGTACACTTGATAGCTGCAAATATCAAGCTGAGGATTATGGAGGGAGGCCCTTTGCATGTCAATAAACACTTGACACAAACTCAGCTTGTTAGACTTGTACACACACCATGAACTTTGCTAGAAGTGAAGCATATTTTTCCCATTTTTACACTTCAGTATAAAACTGGATTTAAGTAGAAAATAATTCAGAAGAGTCTGCCTTTGGGTTTTTACTGCATGATGTGTTCAGGAGAGACTGATTTAAAGAGAGGATTTCAGGATATATGCTAAAAGGGATGCTTGGAAAAATTGCTGTGACTAGGAGACATGGACCATAGCAGGCAAGTGGTGGGTTCCCTGCTCTTCAGGTATTTAGTGAGCAGGTATGGAGGGTATTCTGCTGTGGCAGGAGAGATAGAGCAAATCAAGAAGAAAGATCATTGACTGCTTTCATGGAAATACAGGTACCTGGTGGTACATGTAGATGGGATTTACCTTCTCCAACCAGTGCCTCTCTGTGAGCATGAGATCTGCTTGATGAAAACGAGGTGCTGTTCCTCTAACAAGCTCAGCATTAAGGTTGCCTTGTTAGCTGTAATTTATCCTGATCAGGACTGTAATGAACATTGTGGTATTGCATTTCTGCAGGAAAGATAGTAGGATGTACACTGCCCACTTGTGACGGCAGTGTGGTGACCAAACTGCAGTACTTCCATCACTTGGACCTGTGGCTGTTGACTATTTTTATTTGTCAGAGACTGTGCTCTGGCACTGTGTGAAGTAACAGTTCTTGTTTCTCCAGGTAGGCAAGAAAAAGCCAGGATGAAGTGTTAATGCTGTTCTTGAAATGGCCACAGAGGCTTTGGTGTGGTACTAAGGAATTCTTTGTTCTCTGAAACTTTATAGGATTTTTCTTGCCACTTTCATGGGCAGAGGGTTGGATACTTCTCCTTCAGTGGGTGTGTAGCAAGAGCTATTGTGTCCTTTCCCAGACTCACACGCTGGTTATGATTGCTTTTTTCTTCAGATATGGTACTGACCAGAAGCACAGAGGAGTAGGTGAAGGGACACCTGTGCTTGGCTCCTGCTGTGTGTTTGGTGGGTGCAAGAGTTGCACTGGGAGCAGCTTATGTTCTGCTGTGTGCTGCTTTTTGGCAAGTAAAGAATTCAACTTTTCTGACCTCTTTCTCCCCTTTTTCCTTTGTGCAGTGGGTGGAGAGATCCCCATGGACATATGGTTAGGTGGTGGACAGCTGGTGTCTGAGGAACTAATGAACTTGGGTGAGAGTTTCACACAAACAAATGATCCATCACGGAAGCTCTTCCAGTGTGCTGTGTGCAACAAGTTCACTACAGATAATTTGGACATGCTGGGCCTTCACGTGAACATGGAGCGTAGCTTCCCTGAAGATGAGTGGAAGGCAGTGATGGGGGACTCGTACCAGTGCAAGTTGTGCCACTACAACACACAGCTCAAGGCAAACTTCCAACTCCACTGTAAGATGGACAAGCATGTGCAGAAATACCAGCTGGTAGCACATATCAAGGAGGGTGGCAAGGCCAATGAGTGGAGGCTGAAGTGTGCGGCCATTGGGAATCCAGTACATCTGAAATGCAATGCTTGTGACTACTACACCAACAGTCTAGAGAAGCTGCATCTTCACACGGTGAATTTGAGGCATGAGACCAACCTGAAGCTCTATAAGGTAAGGGTTGGCTTTGCTTCATCTTCCTTCATTGCCCAAGTGCTGGAACAAAGGAAAACCTATTTTGAGCTGCAGTGGATTGTGTTTCTTTGGAGATGAGCTGCTCGGATCTCTCCAGCAGGACCCAGTCTCAATTGCATAGTGCAGCTCTTCAGCCTGAATTCTGATAGCAGCTGTGGTGGTTAAAGCCTTAGGCCAACAGGTGTTTATGTCAAGGTGCTTTAATGAGGGCTTGTATGTCTTCTAGCACTGCATATAAATTATACTTTTGCACAAAAATTCAGCAGTCACTGTTGAAAACATTGTGTGAGGCAGTGTTTGCCACACTGTTGTCTCTCTTCCATGAGGAAGTCTGTTAACCCATATGAGATTCTTCACAAGCAGTTGGAGGCTTTTGCTGTTGAAGTGTGTTTATCCTAGCATGGAGAAGGCTGGGTGGATGGAGCGGGGAGGGGTGGAGGAAGGGAGCTGCTGTCTCTCTGCTTTTATGCTCTATGTATGTTAATGCTGGGACCAACAAAGTGCTGTGAGGCTGGAAAAGGGAGAAGGCTGGAAGAGAAGCCTGTATATGCATGCATGTACTAGACCTTGTGTGTGGACAGACTGTATTTGGAGGCATTGCAGGTTTACATCCATTACAGTATTTGGCCTATGCTATCTGGTTTTCTTTCATTTCCCCAGCCCCCTTCATTTTGTGTCTTTTTTATAATCATCTCTTTCCCAACTTGTTTTTCTTGCTCACAACCCTCTCCTCTTGCTGGCCTGAACCCTGTGGGCTGTAACCCAAGAGGAGTTCTGGATACAGTAGCCATTTCACTTGTGCAGCAGAATTGCTCCAGACATTTGTATTGATTTTCACTGGACTTAAAGCTTCACCTTTTTCTCTAATCATCCCATAATGGCTTTAGTATGAACAATCAGGTGTGAATTGCCATAAATCTAAGCAACTGCATACATTCCCTTCACACATGGTGTCTCACTCATTGTTTCCTCATTTCTCTCAGGTCCTCATACTTTTCTTCTTGCTTTCCCCCCAAATGTGGTGCCATTTTTTATATATCAGTAGATATATATACGCACAGACTGTATTTTGTACTTCAGAATTATTTCTTTGAGTATTTTTCTTTATGTAATGAGAATTTAAAACTTAACATTGAACTGTGTAGTAACCCACCCATGTCACAGTGCACACAGATGTCAAAACTCCTGGATTTTCCCTAGGAATGAGCAGTTCCACAAAATTCAGAGAGGAAAGAGACAGCCAGGAGCATCATAGAGATTTTGCCTTGAACTATGGTTGATAGACCTGCCTGGAGTTGATGGGCAAGTGCTCAGAAGAGGAACCAGTTTCTGCTAAGCTCTCTATTGAGGCCAAGACTGCTGTGATGATTGCTGTTACCATCATTAGCTGGGATCCAGCATAACACAGCAGAGACTGGCTCTAAAAAAGGTCAGGTCTACACAGAAGCATCTGTTCTTAGATGTGCAGGAGACCTGAGAGAGTAAAATCAGCTTGGACATGGGGGGCAGGAGAGTCCCAGTGAGACTTTAAAAAGCCAGCTGAGGAATTGAATCTCTTCTGTGGAATTCAATTTGGGGTACAAAAGAGTTGTTCAAAAGCTCTATTATGAGTTTTAATATATAGTATTGTTCTCTTAAAGATATACATTGCAGAAGTTTAAAAATTCTTTATCTAGACCCTTCACCTACAGTGTCTACTGGGAAGAAGCAATTGGGGTTTTAGAGTTCTCTGAGGGGAGAGGGGAAACAAAGTCAGACTCGGGGACAGCCATAGATGCTTGTAATAGAGGTTCCTGAAATGCTTTCCTCAAGACAGGCAAAGAGGAATTGTCAGGTTTTGGGTTCATAAGAGGCCTGGGCAGTTCTCAGCTGCTACAGCATTGTGTTGCTTCGGACACAAATGCTGTGAAACACTAGATGGAGAATAACACATTTCAGAGTCATGAAGTCTGCTGTATGGTCCATATATTTGTTTTCTAGTATGTCTATATAAAGCCTGTAGCAGGGGACAGTGGACGGTTGGATTCACGGTGTCTCACTCCAGCATAGCTAGAATCAGTGTTTGAAAACACTGGAAAAACCTTTCTCTGGATCAAACAAGCTTCAGTGCAATTCTTGCAGTCTTCAGAGGGGTTGTAATGCCATGTCTCTCTTGATAGCTGAAAAGATGCAGCAGCAGTGGGAGTAGTTTGCAGAATGGTTTCTGTTCTATCAGGTCTTGGTATGGTCTGCAGTAAATTGACATTGATTGGATGTTAATTTTCCTCTTGCTAATGTAATCCATTAGCCTGGCACATGCATAATCAGTTTAGAGCACAGTTAACTGGATGTAATAGAGTTCTTCCCTGCCTACTGGAGAAAATCCTTTCCAGATGCTGCTGGGTGAGAGTGCATAATAGGCTTATCACACAGTCCTCCTTATTCTGCGCTTTTTTTTTTTTTGCTATTTTCCTCTTAAATCACATGTTAATGGCTGCTTGCATCGCCCAAGAGCCACTTATATTAGTGCTACTTGCTTGCAAAAAATGTAATCTGGAGACACTGTTAGCCCATAGTCTGGTGAACCTCTCTTAGTGTTCTTCTGCAATGCTTCCAGTGCTGGAGGAGGTCTGGTCTGCTACTGCCATCTTCATCCTGCACGTGGCAGGCACAGGGCAATAGCTTTCATCATACCTCTTCGTGTCAGTGATGAGGGGGCATGGATGCTGCAGTGGGGACCTTGCTTACGACAAGTAACTGGTAGGATCTGGTAATCCTTCCTTTCTTCTTATGTTCTCTGAATCCCTACTGTCCCCCTAAAATCCTAGAGCTAAACTGTAAATCCTGTCATTTATCTTGCACTTTCTGGGGGAATGTGGCACTTATGCCTCTGTCCTGGGTTCAGCCGACACTCTCACCATGTGCTTATCTCCTCCCTGTGGCTGGTGGCTTTTATATTCTAAGAAACTACCTGGAAAGTAAGAGTACCATTGTAAACATGTGTGCTTAAATTTTTGAGGTGCATGTACTGGCTTGAGGTAGATGATGGGTTTGAAGAGCCTTTATCTCTTAGCTAGGACAGCCTGATGAATACAGTGAGACTGGGGCTGAGCCACATTGGTGGCTGTAAGCAGGGAGGCAGAGACTGTGCAAACTCTTGACAAGTGCAGGTTTACTGTAACTGAAGCTAAGTCTTGTTTCCTCGTGATGGCAGAAGACAAAACCAGACTTGAAGCAGAGCAGCCTTCCTCATATCTGGAAGAGTTCGGACACGAGTTCCCGGCATCTATTGCACAGGTGGAATTTCCAGAAAGAATTAAATCTGCTCGAGCAAGAGCCAAGTTTGGACATTTCCTACAACTTCCTGAAAGTCTTTAGTTCAAAATCTGCAACTCAAAAGAAGTTTAAACAAAGAACCACTGAAGAAACACATTGCTGGCTAGACTGCCAAATGAGTGCATTCAATGAGTTCAGTGTCTTCCGTTTCAGTCTTTCCAAGTGATGAGTTAACTTTTTTAGGGGATAGGGAATCTGAAGGAGAGGGTTTGGGTTACATGATGCTCTGCATAGAGGTTCTTGGTTAACTGAGAGATGTAGAGTGTGCAGGAAAACAACTCCTTAAATGTCAGTACTCAGAATACTAGCGATAATGAAACTTTGTGGATCTACACTGACTTGGAAAGAAATGAAGATGACCTGTGAGAAGGCAAACAGGAGGTGCAGCTGCAAACCTAGCAGAAGGTGGTGGGAGTTCCTGGTTCCTCTGAGGAGCCTGTGTCTCACCCTCCCTCTCCCACAGGCACAGCAGGAGTATGTGTGTCTCTTGAGAACAGGGGGCTGAGCTCGAGTAACTGCAGCAAGATGCTGCTCTGGGGTTTGGGAGCCAAGCTTTACAGTTCAGTTAGTACATAAGACTGAAACCGAAAGCATATGATTTTTGCTGAGGTGAGTAGCTCGAGAGAGGACACCTTCAACACGGGAGCGAGGGGGAGATCAGCGTCCAGGAGCCTCAACTCAGAGAGACAAGAGCCACCGAGGGAGCCTCAAGTCCTCGACAGGACCTGCCCAGGAGCTGGCAGCTTAGCTGACGCGAGCAGCTGACTCACAGGGGGCGGAGCCAGGAGGAGAGGCACCATCCCTGACTGGTTAAAAACCTGCCCCAGGGAGAGCAGCGAGGCAGTTTGCGCGGGCAGGCGAGCGGGATGGTGAGCACTCGTCGTATGACCAGGGCCCGGTCTGGGAGCAGTGCTCTGGCTGCCCTGGCAGTGGCCAGCGCAGGCACCCAGACAGAGCTGATGAGAGGGGAGGCTGCAGTGCAGAGCTCGGGGTGCAGAGAGTGCCTTCACTGGTCTTGTGAGGGAAAGGTGCACAATGGGCAGGGCTGCACTCGGTGCTCCCCCGTGGAGGTCCTCCTGCAGCAGGTGGCTGAGCTGCGGGATGCTGTTAATAGGCTGCAAGATCTCAGGGAAGCTGAGAGGAAGCAGGAATGCTTGCTCCCTGCCCAAACTGCAGGGGCCTCAAGCTTTCCCTCTAGTTCATGAAGGAAAAAAGGAGGCTGTTAACCTGGGAAGCTGGGAATTAGTGACAAAAAAAAAAAAAAAAACAAAAAAAAACAAAACAAAAAAAGGAGGAAGAGGACAATTAAAAGCAAGGGGCTTCCTCCTAAATCTGTTGTTCCCATGCAGAACCGCTTAACCGCTTTGCTGTCCTGCAGGAGGCTAATGAGGAAACTCACTTGCACCAGAAACAGCCGGCTGATGCCCTGATAAAGAATATCTCTACTGGTGCTGCCAGGAAAAAGTGGTGGGTTGTAGTAGTAGAGGATTCTACTTTGAAAGGGACAGAAGCACTTGTCTGTCAGCCTGACCCGGTCTCAAGGGAGGTGTGTTGTCTAGCAGGGGCTCGGATCAGGGATGCTGCAGAGAGGCTGCCTGCTCTAGTAAGTCCCACGGACTATTACCCGCTTCTAGTGATACACGTGGGTGCTAGGGATATAGATA